CTTTGAAGAGGTAGTTGACGTTAGCTACAGTGTTAGCTATTCGAATTCTGATTCTCGAGATGTTAGGCGTCATACTCTATGAATGACTGTTATAAACATCAAGGAGCTAGCAAATAGCAAGTAACTATTCAGAAAATATGAAGACTAGGAAGTTAGAAGTATCATCAAAACCGCGTTCTATCATATCACCACAGATCATATTTGCTGTTCTCCATTTTGCAGCAGGACACCATTAGGAAGATATGAATCAAATGATTTTGGCTAAGGAATCTGTGTGGCTCCATCTAAAACCTGACTCCATGTGGAACCTTATATTGTTGTGTATCTGTAAGCAATTGTTTTTTCAGCCTTGGTTGGAACCGTGGATCCAGTGTAGATTAGGCTGAGTGCATGGAAGTTAGATCTGTATGAACTTCATCGTGGTCAGTTAGTTGAGGTAAAATTTGTAATGCGCTTGAAGAATCGACCTAAAACTTGTTTCTGTAAATGAGGCGTGATACTTTCAAGTAAATGAGGCTTGAGGTTTTGAGTTCTGTTTGTGGCCAAATGCGTTGTCAGTAAGGGCGTCATTACCTGCTGCGTTTATTACCCAGAACCATGAATCGTTCAATCACCTGGCTGTAATGTGTTCGGTTCGACTGTATCGCCAAGGAATGTTTAAATGCAGCCGGTAGTGTCCACAGGTTGCGAAAGCTAGAATAATTCAGGTCTATGCATTAGTTGAAAAATAAGTTGGAAATTCGACAAATAAGAGTCATGACAAATGCAAGGACAATGTGAGAAAGATCCGACGAGGTTGTATAGAAAATACCATAGTGGTAACAATGTTACGACGCGAAAGAATATTTCAACGTGCAATAAGAGTTTCCAAACAGACAAATTGCAGTCGGTTTACAGGCCTTGCTGACAACGGCGAATTGATGTAAGGGTCAAGTTGTCAGTACTTTCTTGTTTCAACTAATTCACAGAGTCGTAATATTTTAACGCTCGACAGTAAAGTTCAGTCTTTGGCTCAAGCTTATAATTCTGGGATGCACCCAAGGATTTTAAGATTAAAGACCGAGTTTTTTTGTATTTCACGCAGCTGTCATTTGTTTTTGTTTAATAGTTTGTGCAAAAATACTTAATTAGTTTTTATTCCTTTTTATTGACAGTCAGGCATCTTCTTAATGAAATTAACTTTGCAGTTTAACTATAAGAGCGAATTCGCTGATTATTGTTTGATACGTCACAAATTGCAAATGACCTCACGCAATTGTCTGGCTTTTGATGGCAATATTTACCCACCGGTACTCACCGAATCTACACAGATAAATTTGATCCTGTTTATCTGATATTTATGTGCTACGTTTTGCAGAATGCGGCGTCAGCAGTGTTCAACTACTCTGCATACTTTTGCGCTACAGTGCTTCTTCATTTTCAACAGCATTTGTGCGTACCAAATAGATTCCAACGGGTATATTGTCTACTGTCCATGCATGGGTACGTGGCATCGAGAATTAGACGGTTAATATTTATATGATCTGTTCCAGGAAGATTTGGAAACCAAGTGGATCATTTTCTGGGCGTACTTTCTTTTGCTCGTCTGCTGAATCGTACACTCATCTTGCCTCCTTGGGTGGAATATGAATACCGAAATCCTCGATCAGTAAAAATTCATTAGTTTAGTAATACATTGTCTAAATCTGCTTTGTAGATACAAGTGCCGTTTGATCGTTATTTCCTTGTTCATCCATTAGAAGCGTATCACCGAGTTATCACCATGAAGGAATTCATGGAGAACCTAGCAGAGACTGTCTGGCCGAAACATGAACGGAAAGGTAAAAGTCTTAACGGTCAGGTTTGCGCGTTTTCGCTGAGTTGAGGTTACTTTATAAATCGTTCCCATTGTCCATTCCATAGGGATGGAAAATGGGGAATAAAACCCGCCTACTCTTTGACCACTCTTATGAAGATCATGACGATTCATGACGATCGATGCTTTGGTTAATATGCAGTTTCTGATAAATTCATTGTTTTTAAGTATTCATCATGCAGTTTGGTAGTAAAAGCATTTCTTTCGGAAGAAGTTTCTAGAAGATCTGTGAAAGATTATTTTGTTCTCGCGTTTGTAGTCATACCGAAAAATCAGCATCGAAACAGTTTGTTAATATATGACGCAATACGGGTGTCAGTTGGGTGACATTCTGGTACCTTCTTCTCACACGCCTTCAAGGAAAGGTGGTTGGCGTGGTCCTTCGACGCCTCGCGACCATATCACCGCCTAAAACCCACCAACGAATTGCTAATAAGCAATTACTTCTTAACTTGAAGAAGGCCCGCGTATGAGATACGCGAAACATCGGTATTGGTCTGTCACCCAAATATTGGATTTGTGTTGGGTATTAATAAATAACGTTTTATGCTATTTTTTATGACATAGGAACTGGATTTCAATTAAACATTATTAATTATTACCAAAATTAAGTAATTATTTTCTGTTTAGTTACTGAATTATTTAAATAATCTAATG